CGGATTATACTCTAGTCTGAACACCTTAAATCGTTAAAGGATCGTCGTGCATTTGTATTCTTTCCAGTGAAGCAATAATGAAAAAAGGAAATCATTGTTAGAAAAAGGTAAGTCAAAATATACTGACGTGCTAAAGCAGGATTCTAAGAAATTTTCGTCTCACACAATGACATGGTTTCTATGGGCTGTAAAATGAATTATAATCAAATAGGACAAGTATTATACTGTTTCTTTCATAGATTAACTTATATGTTTATTATTAATACATGCATATTTTAATTGATATAGGGGATACATATTTTTGACATTTAAGTCGCGGCTGTTGGACTCGTCTGATAATTGTAAAAAGGTATGTGATGAATACGTGTAAACGATATACATACAGTGTTTATACTGGCGATTCTTATTACCTGTTGTTTTTTGTTAATACTGGGGATTCTTTTTTACCGTTTTTTGTTTTTAGTGGGGTTCTTCTTTTTGCTGTTAAGTTTACGGCCCTTATTTCACTGCTGTTGTGTTAAAACTGGCGATTTTTTTAATTTGCTGATTGCGTTTATACTGGCGATTCTTCTTACTTGCTGATTGTGTTTGTACTGTCAATTCTTCTTTCTTCCTGGTTGTGTTTTTATACTGGTGATTCTTCTCACTTTCTGGCTGTGTGTTTATACTGGCGATTCTTCTTACTTGCTTGTTGTGTTAATACTGGTGATTCTTCTCTTTTGCTTATTGTGTTAATACTGGCAGTTCTTCATACTTGCTGGCTGTTTTTATTCTGGCGATTAATCTCACTTATTGGCTGTGTTTATACTGCCAATTCTTCTTATTTCCTGGTTGTGTTTTTATACTGACGTTTCTTCTTACTTGTTGGTTGTGTTTATACTGGAAATTCTTCTTACTTGTTGGCCGTGTTTATACTGGCAATTATTCTTACTTGCTGTCTGTGTTAATACTGGCGATTCTTCTCATTTGCAGGTTGTTTATATGCTGGCGATTCTTCTTACTTGTTGGCCGTGTTTATACTTGCAATTCGTCTTACATCCTGGCAGTGTTAATACTGGCGATTCTTCTCACTTTCTGGATGTGATTAATTTGGCGATTCATCTTAATTAATTGATTGTTGTATTAAAACAGGCGATTATTCTCACTCGTTGTTGTGTTAATACTGGCGATTCGTCTTACTTGCTGGTTGTGTTAATACTGGAGATTCTTCTTATTTCCTGGCTGTGTTTAAACTGGCGATTCTTCTTACTTGCTGGTTGTGTTAATACTGGAGATTCTTCTAACTTGATGGCTATGTTTATACTGACGATTCTTCTTACTTGCTGATTGAGTTTATACTGGCGAATCTTCTTACTTGCTGGTTGAATTTATAATGACGATTCTTCTCACTTGCTTGCTGTGTTTATACTGACAATTCTTCTTACTTGCTGGTTGTGTTTATACTGTCGATTCTACTTACTCGTTAGCCGTGTTTATTCTGACAATTCTTCTTACTTGCTGGTTGTGTTAATACTGGCGATTCTTCTCACTTGCTTGTTGTTTTAATACTGGCGATTCTTCTTACATGCTGGCCGTGTTAATACTGGTAATTTTTCTCACTTGCTGGATGTGTTTAATTTGGCGATTCATCTTTATTGCTGGTTGTATTAATACAGGCGATTCTTCTCACTTGCTTGTTGTTTTAATACTGGCGATTCGTCTTACCTGCTGGTTGTGTTAATACTGGAGATTCTTGTTATTTCCTGGCTGTGTTTATACTGGCGATTCTTCTTACTTGCTTGTTGTGTTAATACTGGCATTCTTCTTACTTGCTGGCTGTGTTAATACTGGCGATTCTTCTTACTTGTTGGCCGTGTTTATACTGGCAATTATTCTTACTTGCTGTCTGTGTTAATACTGGCGATTCTTCTCATTTGCAGGTTGTTTATATACTGGCGATTCTTCTTACTTGTTGGCCGTGTTTATACTTGCAATTCTTCTTACATCCTGGCAGTGTTAATACTGGCGATTCTTCTCACTTTCTGGATGTGATTAATTTGGCGATTCATCTTAATTAATTGATTGTTGTATTAATACAGGCGATTATTCTCACTTGCTTGTTGTGTTAATACTGGCGATTCGTCTTACTTGCTGGTTGTGTTAATACTGGAGATTCTTCTTATTTCCTGGCTGTGTTTATACTGGCGATTCTTCTTACTTGCTTGTTGTGTTAATACTGGAGATTTTTCATACTTGCTGGCTGTGTTTATACTGACGATTCTTCTTACTTGCTGATTGAGTTTATACTGGCGAATCTTCTTACTTGCTGGTTGTATTTATTGACGATTCTTCTGACTTGCTGGTTGTGTTTATACTGGCAATTATGCTCACTTGCTGGATGTGTTTAATTTGGCGATTCATCTTTATTGCTGGTTGTATTAATACAGGCGATTCTTCTCACTTGCTTGTTGTGTTAATACTGGCGATTCGTCTTACTTGCTGGTTGTGTTAATACTGGAGATTCTTCTTATTTCCTGGCTGTGTTTATACTGGCGATTCTTCTTACTTGCTTGTTGTGTTAATACTGCCGAATTTTCTTACTTGCTGATTGAGTTTATACTGGCGATTCTTCTTATTTGCTGGTTGTATTTATACTGGCGATTTTTCTGACTTGCTGGCTTTATTTATACTGGCAATTCTTCTTACTTGTTGGCCGTGTTTATGCTGGCAATTCTTCTTGCTGGCTGTGTTAATACTGGCGATTCTTCTCACTTTCTGGTTGTGTTTATACCTGCGATTCTTCTTACTTGTTGGCCATGTTTATACTGATAATTCTTCTTACTTGCTGACTCTCTTAATACTGGCGATTCTTCTCACTTGCTTGTTGTATAAATACTGGAGATTTTTCATACTTGCTGGCTATGTTTGTACTGGCGATTCTTCTCACTTGCTGGTTGTGTTTATACCTGCGATTATTTTTACTAGTTGGCCGTGTTAATACTGGCGATTATTCTCACTTGCTGAATGTGTTTAATTTGCAATTCATCTTAATTGCTGGTTGTATTAATACAGGCGATTCTTCTCACTTGCTTGTTGTGTTAATATTGGAGATTCTTCTTATTTCCTGGCTGTGTTTATACTGGCGATTCTTCTGACTTGCTTGTTGTGTTAATACTGGCAAATTTTCTTACTTGCTGACTGTGTTTAGACTGGCAATTCTTCTTACTTGATGGCTGTGTTTGTACTGGCAATTATTCTTACTTGTTGGCCGTGTTTATGCTGGCAATTCTTTTTACTTGCTGGCTGTGTGAATACTGGCGATTCTTCTCACTTGCTGGATGTGTTTAATTTGGCGAATCAACTTAATTGCTGGTTGTATTAATACTGTCGATTCTTCTCACTTGCTTGTTGTGGTTTTACTGGCGATTCTTCTTATTTCCTGGCTGTTTTTATACTGGCAATTCTTCTTACTTGCTGTCTGTGTTTATACTGGCGATTCTGCTTACTTGCTGGTTGTGTTAATACTGGCGATTTTTCTTACTTACTGGATGTGTTTATACTGGCAATTCTTCTTGCTAGCTGGTTGTATTAATACCGGAGATTCTTCTTATTTCCTGGCTGTGTTTATACTGGCGATTCTTCTTACTTGCTGGTTGAATTTTTACTGGAGATTCTTATTACTTTCTGGCTATGTTTATACTGGAATTGTTGGCGTGCTTCAGTTTATCTACAGTTATGAACAAATGCATGATATTAACAATAAATAAATACTTTTTCATTTTTTTTAAACTAAGAATTAAGCGTTATTTTGATTGAAGGTTTCTGTCTGCTGATTTCTATGTTAAGTTTTTGTGTAGAACATCTAAGCATTGAAATAGAGCTTTTTATAAACAAATGAAAAATCCAGTTTTATGTATTTACTACATTTGGACGTGATTTGAAATTTCTATTTGGTAGTATTACAAAATGTAATATTATTATACTAATTTTGATTTAAACAATTAACCGATTTAAACATTTGAATAAACAGACTAGGATTACATTTTTCTTGTATTATTCAGGCAAACACTAGTTTAGTAATATTTTTTTTATGTTTCGAAACCTATTTCTCATTTTAGCATGAAGTAACATTGTCGTTTGTATATAGACTGTTGTACTGACGCTAATTTTCACCAATATTTTACACAATAATACAAATAAGATATCCGTTTTAATATTAATATCCGTTCTTCTAACTCTCTGACATCTTCTAAAAATTAATATGAAAACATATCTTTCAGGTGAAATAAATGTCTGAATATATATGTTTATTTGTAAATTGTGTGTAAAAGAAAATTGTATGAATGTTATTTTAATATGGAAAAAGAGCGATTGTCAAACAATCAAATGATGTTTGTTAAAGGACCAAATTTTCTTTCAAATGACTTTTGGTTTTGCTTGATATCTAGAATTGATTTATTATCCTAAGTAGACAAACACTATTATCTTCATAAACTGATTCAACGTTTAAGGGAAATCCACGATAGAACCAAGACTCGTTATTTCTAAAAAACACCTCCTGTACGAAATAACACAATCTCAGACCTATTTCACCTTAATTCTAATTCTAAGTATCTCGACAAAATAAATCTATTGTATTAAATGGTGCTGTAATTTGATAACAATTTCAGTGCATGTAGCAATGTTGTCCGCAAACATAGGACAATTATAATGCCTTGTACTACTATATCATTAATTATACAAAAAATCCTGTTTCACAAGAAACACGTAGTAATTCTACTTACTGATAAATAAAGAGTGTAAATAATGTCATGCTGATTACGCCCCCTAATTATTTTTTTTATAAATTACTGATTTTCTGAAGTATAGCAAATCCCACGAGAAATATGATAAAATAGGTTTTACCCTTTTTAACTAAAGCCAGGGTCTTTCAAACTCAAAACTTCTAAAATTCCATTTGAAAGCCCTGTTGATATCTTACATATTAGCACATTATTTTACTTTATACTATGAAATATGAGTTGCATTATACTCAATAACCTTTAACATAATTTGCAAACATTGTATTGACCTTTTTGAGCGAAGTTAGCAGGAAAATATACATAATTATATTAAATTCTTTCAAAATAATAGTAAAAATAAGGTATTGAGGGTTTGCTTGGATAATGTAGTGAGGGCGCCGGTTAAGCAAACCGCCTCCCCTCAACACCCGCCCGGCTATTTTATATAGGGTAACCTATTTCTATTTATAGTCATATTGGGTTCCTAGTTTAAGGTCATCTGACGTGTACGTTGCAGCGGATTTTAAAGCGAAAGTTCTCACTGAGAAAGAACAATATATTACTTCGCAACAATTAATTTTTATGTCTACAATTGTAAAAATATGCTGAAAATTGGTTTACGGATGAACAATATTCTGAACACATCGTTAAAGGACTGATCGACGGACTTTTTTTCAATAAAGCAATAATAATAAAAGGAAATCATAGTTAGTCAAGGTAAAGCCTATTTTATCATATTTCTCGTCGGAGTTGCTAGATCTAGTCTAATAGAAACTTTGTTTTCATTTTTTTAAATGTATGTTTGTTACTTTGCTAAATTTATCAAATTATTATACACTGAAAACGTGTTCGTTGAAGTATCTGTAGCTACCTTATCTTAAGTTAATTTACTATATATTTTTTTTAGATTTGTTTACTGTTACAAGTTGTAAACTGGTTTAAACATTTTGGTATTGATTTGTCATTTGTAAGTATTATTATACTATAATTTATTATGTTTGCTATTGTTTTCCACTAAATTATAAACTTTTATTGTACTATGACCTTATATATAAATCAATGTCTTTTTCTATTTTATCTTACACGTAATTGATTTGGCTACACGTAATTCATTTGGCTATTTTTAGAAATGTTTCATTAAATACTGTATCGTGTGATATATTTAGCTGTAAAATTCCCATAGCTGTTTCTATTTATAACGAAAACGGTTTTCCGGTCATTCTCGCTCCGTTACTAGCTGTTACAAAACGAAAGGTAGTAGCAAAAGTTGCATCCATACAACATAACAAGGGTCAGTTGAGATAACATTTTAATGAGTTAAAAGTAAAGGTTTAAACTATTCTCATAATTTACGCCTAGTGTAACCTTGTTAAACTCAGTAGATATCACGCACGTTTTGCACTATAAAACGTATAAACTAACTAAGTTACAAAACCGGAGGTATAAGTTATAGCGTCATAAATAGAGTTTGTTCCAATTGCGGGTCGAGATATTAAGACTGAAATAGATATAAAATTAATATACGTATCGCTTTACCACTGATCAGATTACAGGTATCCCAATTTAAATTTCATTTCATGCAAACTTTTTAAAAATTATTTTTGATTATAGGCCAAAAATATGTGATCATAAACTTTATAAATAAATATGCTCAAATAACTGTAATCATTTTATCTTTTTTCATATATGTTATTAAAAGTACTTTTAATGTCATAGTTGATGTTGTTGAAAGTGAATTAAGTGTTTTAAATCACATCTTAATCAGAAATTGTTTATTTATTGTTTGTTAATATAACTATCGCATGTTTATAAAAATAAGTTCGTTTATATGAACTCAGCTAAAGTATTATTTAACTTTTTCTAATATATATTCTAAGCACTTAACAGTGTTACAAGTTAAGGATCCCGAAGGACAAGAAAAATATTACAACACTGAAGTGTAGTGCGTGGCATTTTTTTACAGCTGCCATACGGTAGAATTTTTCGTTATAGCATAATAAAATACAAACTCATATATAGAGATTGGGCAAAATATACTTATTTACAGTTTAGTCGAGAAATTTAGACTGAAATAGATATAAGATTAATTCACTTTATACATTTTGCTTTAACAATGAACATATTTATCTTTGGAACATACTAGCTATTCTTTGAAAAGTAAGGTTTTAATTGGAATAAATCAAAACTTTAGTGGCATTAGGGTTTACAATTCAAAATCCAATTAAATGCAGTGTATTCATTTTTTTAATCATTTGAAATAAATAATTACATGTATGCTAACATAACAGAATGCCAGAATATTTATCATATTTATGCTAAAATATTTTCTAATGTAATGTCATTGTTAATGAGGAAAACAAAATTAGGTGTTCTTGTCATGTTTTATTAAAAGAAATAGCTTGATATAATTAGTGTTCACTTGTTTTTCCATTAATGTTTGTCATCGTCTGAAACAATGAAATAACAATCTTCAAAATACCTTTCAGATATATTTTAAGTGTGTTACTTATAAAAATTACTTGAAAAAAGAGACAAAAACAACAACAACAAAAAAAACCCCCAACCCCCCCCCCCCCAAAAAACAAAACGCAAAACAAAAACAACAACAACAGCAAAACAAATTTTATATTTATAAATTTTTGTTTAACTTTGAAAACAATGTACTTCTAAACTATAATTATCAATGTACATAAATTTACTGCTTTTTCAATAACAAAATAAAGAAACTGCTGTTTGAATACATTAGTAATGGGTTTCCTTGTTTGTTTTACAGATGGCAGACAAATATTATAGAGTGGTTTGCTTTGTGGTAGATATTTGTGCTGATGTATTAAGGAAATATTTCGTCAAACTTGCAAAAATTGATGCAGGGAACACTTATACATCAGTTGATGCATACCTATCTCACAGAAATTGGGATGTGATGCAATTATTTAATAACAAAAAGCTCAGGAGAGATCAGTATGATTTATTGTATCCTATTAACGGCACCGCGGATGAAAGCAAATGGGACGTCTCAATACTGATAACATTGATAACAGAACTTTTTGTCACCCGCCTGCAGCCACTCGAAGTCTTCGCGTTGAAAACTGAAATTCGAGGGATTCGAAATGAGGTGCAGCATCACCCAAATACTGAAAATATTTCAGATAATGACTTCGATGATTATTGGGAACGGTTGGACTCTTCTGTTAGGCTTTTAGCAAATAATGCACTTGATCCAAATGATGAAGCATCCTTACTCATGAAAATAAATCAAGTAAAATGTAATCATCTACCAAATCTCAGTAATTGTTTACGTATTTGGCATGAAGAAACCTCTAAGCAGTTGTTAAACATTATGAATGAAGTGCAGGCAAATTCCGAAGAAACAACTTCCATTCTCAGGCAAGTGACTGTCCAAAAACCAGGACCTTCAGGTAAGTTTCGGTTATCATACATTAATTTTATGTTTATATTGCCATGTATTTTAATTGTTATTAGGTCGTGTCATAGTATTAATTTGTATTTATCGCAATCAACACTAACATTAAGACAAAAAAGTTCAAACTGATCTCTATTTATCCGTTCAATCCAAAGAAACTTTGTACAGAAATCTCAAAATGGTATATATCGTATATATGCAATGGCTTATTAATTATCATCGGCATTGTTCAGCAACTTTAACAATAATTGTTGTTTAATATTTGTAATATATATTACAAGTGGAATATATTTGACTTCAGGGGACAAAAATAAAAGAATCAAAGTTGCTGATGATATTCTGGCACGGCTTCAAGGTAGGTTGTTAATTAAAAAACAACATTCGAAAAGTATTGTCTACATTCATTTCTAACTGAGACATTTTTATTTCATTTTAATCTAATATGATCTAACCTATCACATCATACATACAAATTACAGTATCTCTATGATCAAATAAAAGTAAATACAAGATTTTGGTTTTCATGAGGGCATTATGTGCACACAATCGTTTTCTATTTGTAAGCGGGGTTTGAGTCAACAATGAAAGAACTATCAGGCGATTTCAACCCACCAAGTGAAGTCACTGAAATTCGAGCTAAACTAAGAAATTATCATCACGTGGTTGTAACTGGATGCAACAATAGCCGTTATTTTCAGACCGCTCTTGCAGCAATAAGGGGGATGGACTATAACTACAAACGAAGCGTAGAAATGCATACGTCATCTGATTGGCGGCACATTGATCCACAAAATGTAGATTTGGTTTTATGTAGAGATCCATTTGGAGGATTTTCTTACGATGAAAGCAAAACTAAAGCCATGGAAGATATATTTAAAAGCATGATGCATTCAACAAAGAGAGATAATGGCGATAAAGCCTTGGACATTGTCATAGTTACTGACCTGAATATATTGGAAGAGTGCAAAATGCATCACGACCACGAAATCTTAGACGAAGTGGTAAAAGTGTTTACTGATACAAGTTCAGCACAACCGGCTGATCTTACAATAGGTATATCATTTATCGTTCACTCTGCGATAGACTAATATGTTATTAAAAGAACTAATTCAGTCTTGGTTAATATTAATGTAGATAATGTATTGAATAAAATAATATCTTAACGGTAATCAATCTCTCCTTGCGTTTAGTGTCCATGGTGATTGAACTGGTTCTACTATTTTGTATTGTATGGTAATGTATTGTATAGTGTTAAGCTCGACTTTTTCGCATTGTTACAGTAATGGCGGCGTTGTCGTTCGCAAACTTAAACATTGATCATATTTGTTTTAAATTTTTGGTGTATAACCTTCATACATGGCAACAAAACCCTTGGGACAAGACCTTTGTTGACCAGACTTAACTTGACATTCTTTCACAAATGACCTTGACCTTCAAATACTAAATGTTGCTTGAGTTTTGCTATAAATGACAAAAACTTTGTTATTGTTAATTGATTGTATCCAAACTTAAACACAACATTTTGTTAGGATATATCTTCAAGTTTTACTGCCTAGTTTAGTCCTGAAAATGATATAGAAGTTTTTCACCCTAAAAGCACCCACACGGAGTCCCAACATAACTCCGTTTTTAGGCTTAAACCAGACAGTCAAACTATGAACTTTTTAAGGATTATATCAAGTACTTTAAGCCAATTTTAGAACAAAAAAATATTTCATCTTCGAGTCGACGGGATGTTTATAAAAAAAAAGGAAAGAAAGAAAGCTGTAGTATATGACATATTATCCTACCATTGTCATATTTTTATTCCTTTATAGTGTACGGATTTGATTTATATGTAGACAAAACAACACTTTTTAAGCAAACGGACATGTTAACTAATTTAGAAATGACCTTGATATTTAAAAGATCTTTATTGTCAAGGTCAGATGATTGAGTATTTGCTTGTATTTTCTTACATTTGTAATTTACTTATGGGAATGATTCATACTTGGACAAAACAAGAATTCTGACGAGACAGACTTATCTAGATTAATAAGGGAATTCTTTAATTGTACTTTTAAAGATTTGTTTAAACCGTTTATCTATCAGCTTTCAAAAAAAAAAAAAAAAAAAAAAAAAAAAAAAAAAAAAAAAAAAAAAAAAAAAAACGTCGCCACTACTGTGTGGTGGTTCTTGTTTTATTTAACAAAACTTTGTTTATTCGTTATCCACGTTTACAGTTATACCATTGTAAGTTTGATTAAATTGTTAAAAATGAATAAGAATAGCTTCCTCGTTACAGGATGTAGACGTCATGGACAATACGCGCAATCGTCTTCGCTGCCGGTAACCAGAAATAATTTGGGAGGTAATATTGTTTCTTTTTCATGTATATTTGTAATTAATTAAAAATGTCATACATGTTTGTTTTTTGTTGTTGTTTTTTTTACAAATAATTTGACTTTCTTTATTTTTAAGCTTTAACGGAATGTTTCCTGAAGGCTTATAAAATATCCAGTGGTCAAGTAGATGATGAGATATTTAAAAAAGCAAAGAAAAGTTTCCAAGTAAATAAGGCTATAGTACTAACAGGGCGTGAGAAATGTGGTAAAACTTCTATAGCTGTTGCATTGGCGTCTGCCTATGAGGAACAGCAATGTTTACTTCTGAAGAAACCACACGATATTGACAAAATTGACTTCCCAAACATTTGCTTAGTGATCATTGACGAGTTTGCTGGGAAATATCGTTATGAGGAAAATGATGTGTACGAATGGTACAATATGTTTGACCACCTGTACAATACCGTTATAGCAGGACAGATGAACGTGATAATAACTTGTGAAAAGGATAAACTAGAAAAATGTATCAAAAAAATTGGACGGCATGCCATTCTTGACCATGTGGTGGATGTAACTTTACAAAACACTGTCGTTAAATTAGAAGTAACTGAACGTAAGTCGAATATATTGCGTAGTGTTATATATCATATCATCGTTATATTTCTTAAAAAAACGTTTTTAAACATATGAATTTCACTATCATAATAAATGATTATGTGACTAAATGACCGGTTATGTCATTTAAGGTTAAGATCGGAAAAAGTATAGATTAAAATAGTTGACTTCATGTCCATTTTAGCGGAGTTAATAATTGTTGGCAATGCATGCCATTATACATGTATTTTAAAAAGTGTCAGGTTTTTGTATAGTTTGACACTTTATAGATATTCTATTTTATTTAACCTTTTACCGCATGAGTATATAGTGAAAAATGCCCGATTTCATTAAAAAAAACCTCCTGTTACATGTTCAAACTGCTATGAAACTATGAAACTGTTTCAATACGGATGAAACTTAGCATTTTTAGCCTGTTTCATGTTTCAAAATTTTCTTGGTGATGAGAAGATTTCTGCTCCCTTCAAACTCCCAAACAGATATGGGTACATCCCTCCTATGGCACCCCCTTCTTGTACCTTTTTAATAGGGGGCGGCGCCGAAAAAGTGATCACTTTTTTACACCATTTCACAAACCAAACGAAAAATAGTGTTTTGGGTCTAAATAGGGCATTTATTCACTAGTTTAGGCCTCAAAAGGGAGGGGGTGTGAAAAGTCGTCAAAACACGTTTATTAGGCAAAAGGTTAAACAATCTTCTCAGGGATATACAAAGGAGTTGAATTGTTTGTATTTTGACAATACAATCTTTAAGATGGCATATATTTTTCTTTTGTTTTACTAGAATATGGACATGTGTCTGGACAGATAGTCACTGCAGATCATTTTACAGTCACCATGTCAAATATCACACAGACACCGAACTACACATCATCATTGTTAGGGGACCCGTCACAAGGGCCAATACCGCTGTCAAGACATGACACAATTCCGATTTCTACAGAAAATACTTCAATTTTAGGTAGGGCAGAAATGGAAGGTATGTCAGTCATTGTATGCGATGCATGCAATTATATTTTGACAAGTGCCATATTTCAAATAGGGATGATCTCCATCCGTCTCTCTATCCGTAACACTTTCGTTTCCGCTCAATCACTTTTAAACCGCTGATTGTAATGAAAATACTTGGCACAGGTATTCACAATTATGAGAATATATGAAGGGTGCAAGAGTTGGGTTGCTACCCCCAAGGTCAAGGTCACGCTTAAGGTCAAGTGTTAGAAGGTCTAATTTAAAAAAAAATATCGGCGGCTATGCTCACCATCATCACCTACAGAGGGAAAAACCAGGTGACTACTCCAAAAGTCAAGGTTATAACATAACCAGAAGTCTGCTTATTCTCACCTGAATGATTTGTAAAACATGTAAACTTAAACAAATAATACATTAGAGTCACAATCAAAGTATCAAAAGTTGAAACAGGACTTATCACAAAAGCCCATGAAACAGCAATTATGCCTGAAGCATAATACTAGTAAATATGTAAGAAACTTGTTCTTAAAAATAACCCATAGCTTCCAAGACCTTGACAAAAATTTCAAAAAAATAAGAGGATTTACTAAGGTATCCTTCTGAATATTGAAGTTGGTCAAGAACTGAACATTACTTTTGTGATGAGCAAATGTACTTATGATATGCATGGCACAACTTTAAGGTCATGGTTGTGTTAAAGGTCAAGTAGTAAACATTCATGTTCACTGCGGAAGGGGTTTTAGCTGTTCTTCAGACTTCTTTGTTTTTAACAATCTTCTCTGGAATATACAATGACTTACGATGTTATACATTTCTGTTTTTCTTTTAAACTTAGGAATAGGAATTGGACATGTGTCCTGACATTTAGTCAAAACAGATAGTTCTATAGGCACCATATCAAATACCACACAGTCTAAGGACTACACAACACCATTGTCAGTGGTACCGTCACAAGGGCCAATCTTATTCTCTGGAATAACAATGACATACGATTTCATACATTTCGTTTTTATACGCCCGTTTGAAAAACGGGACGTATTATGGGAACGCCCCTGGCGGGCGGGCGGTCGGGCGGGCGGGCGGCGTCCAATTTTGTCCGGAGCATATCTCCTACATATATGGAGGGATTTTAATGAAACTTCATATGAATGTTCACCACTATGAGGAGCAGTGTCGCGCCCATGAAACAGCAATTATAGGTCAAAGGTCAAGGTCATACTTAGAGCTCATTGCAAAATGCTTGTCCGGAGCAAAACTTCCACATGTATAGAGGGATTTCAATATTACTTAACACAAATGTTCACCATTGTGAGGCGGAGTGTCGCGTGCAAGATTCAGGTCCTTGCGGCCAAGGTCAAGCTCACACATAGAGGTCAAAGTTCAGATAAAAATATGAAGATGTGTATATGGACCATTTAGTCATCATTTATTGAGGGATTGTAACACAAATGGTCATTATCAAGACTATGGCTGTGATACATATAATTTAGGTCAATATATACAAGGTCAAGGTCACTAAAGATGATGAAATATCCAGATTTTGTAAATAGAATTTAATCAAAGGGAGACAACAAAGTTATTACTTTGTTCATAAATGACTTACCCAATTACTCCCCTTGATCTATTTTCACTTTCAATTCTAAAAATAGAATTTAATCAAAGGGCATGAAATAATCCTCTTTCTTGGACTTGAGTATGTTCTAAAGAATGTAACATTTATTTACACATGTTTCATTCATTGGTCAAGATTCTTAACTGTGATAACTATGGTGTTCTGTAGACTTGGTATTTGTTCATAAAGATCATACAGTAATTACCTTATCAAATGTAAATACTTTCTCATAGAAATTTAATTATATTTTAATTTTCAAGTAAATATCAGTTCAGCTCATTCAAAGATTAAGAATTGTAATGAAATGTATTTCCCTAGAATAAAATCTTAAATCAGAATTTTTTAGTTATTAAATTACATGTACTTTTTATACGCCCGTTTAAAAAAGATAAAAATATGAAGATGTGTATAGGGACGATTTAATCATCATTTATTGAGGGATTGTAACACAAATGGTCATTATAATGACTACGGCTGTGACACATGTACTTTAGGTCAATATATGCAAGGTCAAGGTCACTAAAGATGGTGAAATATCCAGATTTTGTCTGGAGCATATCTCCTACATGTATGGAAGAATTTTTATAATACTTTATGGAAATGTTCACCACCATGATATGTATTGCTCCATGCATGATCCAGGTCTCCAGGTCAAAGGTCAAGGTCACACTTAGAGCTCATTGAAAAACTTTTGTCCGGAGCAAAACTTCTACATTCATAGGGGGTTTTCAATATAACTTGGCACAAATGTTCACCATTGTGAGGCTGAGTGTCGCATGCAAAATTCAGATCCCTGCGACCAAAGTCAAGGTTACACATAGAGGTCAAAGTTCAGATAAAAATTTGAAGATGGTTATAGGGACCATCTAGTCATCATTTATTGATGGATTGTAGCACAAATGGTAACTATCATGACTACAGGTGTTACACATTTAATTTAGGTTAATATTTGCAAGGTCAAGGTCACTGGAGATGATTAAATATCCAGATGTTGTCCGGAGCATATTTTCTACATGCATGGAGGAATTTTAATGTTACTTTTATAGAATTGTTCACCACCATGAGACGTAGTGCCCTGCACATAAACCAAGTCTCTAGTTCAAAGGTGAAGGTCACAGTTAGAGCTCATAGAAAAACACTTGTCTGGAGCAAAACTTCTACGTGCATAGAGGGATTTCAATATAATTTGGCACAAATGTTCATCATTGTGAGGCTGAGTGCCGTGCATAAAATTCAGGTCCCTACGACCAAGGTCAAGGTCACACATTCTGTGCATATCTTCCCTATTGATTTGTTTTAAGGTTCATTTAACAACACAGTGCCAAGAATAAAAACTTGCTTGCTAGATAACACTTATCCATAATGCCCCCATCTCCATCTAAAGCTTTTTCGTAAACGGGCGTATTTTGTGACTATGGCACCCTTGTTTCTTTTAAACTTAGGACTAGAATATGGACATGTGTCTGGACAGTTCGTCAATATGGGTCATTCTACAGGAACCATATCAAATACCATACAGTCTAAGGACTACACATCATCATTGTCAGTGGAACCGTCACAAATGCCAATCTTACAGTTAAGTCATGACAGGATTTCTACAGGAAATACTTCACGTCTAGGCAGAGCACATGTGGAAGGTTTGTCTTACATGAATAGTCATCAATATGAATAAAATTCCAATCCCATAGTATTTTATATAATTAGCTACACTAATAAAACTATTATTCCCCGAGGATGTCAGCCGAGTATAACTTTGGCGTTGTTCTTTGGGCTGTTTATCTTTGCATCTGGCAGTCTTTTTGTCTAACATTCCCTTAACACTACAGCTAGTTTAGTTATAAATCTCATCTACATATGTAGAAACATTTTATTGAGGAGAAATGCAGTGTAAAGCAGCTGTTTCGTTTCATTTCATAGTAACTAAAGTATTACCTTTAAATTTTTTTAAACCGTAACTTTAACTCGGTATGTGTTTAGTTATTAAGTTTAATATAATACGTTCATATGAGTCATCATGGAATGGTGTATTAATCCAGAACTTTAGCTCTTCATCCCATAACGTTTGCGCAATTGTCCTTGGTGTCATAAATTTTGTTGTCTTTCAAATTATTTCCGTTATCAACAAGAACAGAATGGTGCACAGATTACATTGTAAGATACAGATTGTGAGATTTTTTCATCTCGCTGTTGGTCTGAGTTATTAATCAAATATAACCAAACTCTGAATCTGCATCTTTAGCTACGGCTCTTTGTAGGTTATCAAAATAATTACTTATGTGCAAGATTTTAACATATGTTGGAATACTTTTATTTGTCTTTAAGGAAAAGATTCACATCAAAATTCATCAATGAACGCATGCATCATTATGAATTACTACAATTCTACACTTAGTAATAACCGTTTATTAGAGAAATATTTGCCGGCTTTGTTATAGTGATTTATCTGTTATTGTTATGTCTTCAAATAGACATAAATGTATATTGGTAATGGAGTTATAATCCACAGAGTAAATAATTTTACGTTTTTTGTTATCCTTGTCTACTTTGATACATTTGATAATTTGAATTGCCCTTATATAATATCAAAATACAACATATGAACGTTTCATTTCAGGAATACAAAATCCGATGCAGTTGAAAAGAGGATTCTCTGGATTGGAAAGGTAAAATATGAAATATTCGAAGTTAATACCTCTTTAGCTGTTTGATACAAAAAGTGCATATCTCAACATATTATACATGAACAGGTCGTTGTTGGTGTGGTCACCGTGGTCGTAGTTTATAAACATGCATAGCTAAAAGAAGTAATGCTTACATATTACGTCAATTATGACGAATCAACCAAATGACACCGGAAAAATAACTACTACGTTCAATTGACTCAGAATATATTCTCTTTTATATCGGCATGGTAGAATGGAAATTGATAGTAATTTTTTTCTTACGTTAAAGTATAAAAATGCATGGTATATCGTTAAAATGCTTTGTAATTACTCATTCAGGACTCTTAGTCTTGTAATTATATTCCGATGCATTTGAACTCGAATCGCTCATTATTTTACAAAACTCAATCAAAATAGGGATCTATTTCCATGGTGAACACGGGGTCTGAAGTTTTAAGTCTCCAGACATAAAATATAGATTTTACTTTTATTGCCTTCGTATTTTGATAACCCTTATTACATCAAGTGACTATGATTAAGCTTAATCAAATTCATATTGATGAAAGGCCATTTATTATACAGTTTTTTTTTATTCAATAAATGTGTTAAATTTCTTCAATACTTTGATTAGCAACTTTCTTCAGTTGTATAATAATACTCTAATAGATGTATTTGTGCATGAGTTATGAATTGAAACTTAATGACAGCAAATATTATATTGTGTATAATGTGGTTATTCCGATGGAATATTTAAACAGGTGATTTGACTAGAGCTTAATGAGCACTATGCGTTTACACATGAATTTAACTGATTTAAACTTATTTTAGACTAAAATTGAATTAGACGATTTATTCATTTTAACTCTTCTACTTTTGCTGGTAAAGCCATCAGTTTTAATTATTATAATTATTTTATTATAACTAAGCGCAATTGTATTAATAAATCATTAAATAGTTGTTCTTTATATCACTTTCATCTTTAATAAATCTGCAATAATTTATTAAAACATTTCTTGTGAAAAAATGTTTTAAATAAAAAAAAAATAAATGCGGTTAATTCGTTTCACGTCTGATTTCATTTTTGGTCAAACAACGGATAAACTTATATCGATTTTATGACCATACAGTAGGGCACTATTTCAGGGTATTACAGACTGAGACAGATGATTTGAGTGTAAAGAGATCGAGGTTAATGTCGTCTGGTTTATGGTCAGCCGAAGAGAAACGTGAGATTAACATCAGGATCAAGGATGATAGGAAGCATTGTTACATTTCAGGAAGTTGTATACTACCTTCAGGAGAAATTCTGCTTGCAGATGACACTAATAAAAAGTTGAAGAAACTTGATGATATGTATAATGTAAAGTATGTGTGTGACCTTCCTGATTGTCCACGTGATGTTTGCTATGTAGGGGATCATGTAGCTGTTGTAACACTGTGGAGTAAACTTCAGTTTGTTGATACTAAACGTAGTATGATACTGATAAGATCCATTGATAAAGATCATGGTTGTCATGGTCTGACTTGTCATGGTGATCAGATGTATGTTAGAGACCTTTATGGTTCTGTTTATAGTTATAGTACAGATGGTATAAAGCAGCGGATAATTTATTCACTTAGAAAAAATATATATGATTATCATGAAAATATTACTGTGAGCAATGATGGAAGTAAATTATACCTTCCATATGAAAACAAGCTTGTTACCATTGACAACAATGGTAACCATTTGTTTACATTAAACAATGAAGACATAGATTTCGAATGTGGAGTTTGTGTAGATGATCAAGGTTATGTTTATGTAAATGATATGAATGGGAATATTTTACAAATAAGTGAAGATGGTAGAACTATACTTCAAGTCATAACAAACGTATCTTGCATGAAATATGCATTTCCTCTTACATTAACATTTGATAGGAAAAATAAAGCTCTGATAGCAGCAGGGTGGTCAGACACATTTAGAGTCTTAAAACTAAGGAAATAATGTGAAACTCAAACAAGATGAATACATAGGATACCGTGATCATATAATGGACAATATTTCCTAATATATAATACACTTTATTGTTAACTGCATAATGTATACTTAAAATAATTCCTCACTTGATGGTGGAACAAACTTGATTTTTCTGGTTTTACATCAATGCAGAGAGAATGCAAGATATATGTGTTTATAAACTTTGATAATTTGAAGAGCAACATAATAATTTAATTATTTTATAAGTTATCGCCCATTTTTCTTGTCTGGAATGGAGTCAATTATTCGACACACATTTCTACAACACTGTATTTCATTCCGTCACTGTTAAGAGTTGTTTCCTGTGTCATCTACCAGTTGATATTTCAATAATATTAAAATATTTCATAGAACTGAAGTGTTTTAAAAGAATGTAAAGGTGTCTATAATTATATCAATAAACTAGATCTGTAATATGGACATGCAATGTTTTATAGATAACTTTAGAGGCGTACAATACAAGACTTTATTAAATAACTTTACGTCATAAGTTTTTTAAATCAAAGTGCTGAAGGCACTGCAGTTGGAACGTATGAAGGATCAAATAACTATTTTTTTTCTATTTCGGGGCAGATAATTCAATGTGTGAAGGGTGTTGCCGGTTGATAAATATAAAGTGCACACTTCAGTATATGAACAGTAGTTGATACAATTATTCTATGACACACATGTTCAAATATAATATTTAGGTTACATGTATGTGTAGGTCCATCATAAACCGTTATTGGCCTTTTTTGACAAGAGCAACGAGTGAAATTAGAGCTACCAGAGTAAACTGCAAGCTCGACTATTTTAACACATGACATAATAAAGGGAGACAAAGCTATGAAAAAATAATCAATTGTGATATATATATATATCAAATTTTCTGTATCAGTATCAAGTAAACACTCAAATGGTCAATATTTTTTGCATCACATTATATGAATGTGACCATGTCGTTAGAACTTATAATGGCTTTTGTTTACTGCACTTTTCATGCAAATCTCTTTCACTGTATAAAGTTTATAAAGTTTCAATCAAATTCCTTCAATATTTTAATCCTCTCTCTAAACAGGATCATGAAATAATATATACGAATATAATTCAAAAACTAAGTAAATAAATGTAGAATTTTGGTTATTTGACACAGGACTTCTGCTCACTAGTCTCTACAACTGTATTTAGTTTGAGTGTGATATCATTGAAAAGATTTACTCCAGACAACCATTATTTTAAATGATGTTGTACATGTATTTTAAGAGATGATAATTGTAAAATTAAGCTAGGAAAAATAAGGGTTCTTTGAAAAAACACTTCCTTTCACTTGATTGTTTTAGCTGTGTAAAAGTTTAATCAAATTTCATCAACTCTTTTCCAGTATTTCTCTGGACAAGCATAATTAAGTACATGTATAATAAAGGGTGATAATTAAAAAACTAAGAAATGGAGTTATGGTTCTTTGACACTTTGGCAAATTCGAGTCGTTCAAATTGATGTAGATTCAGTGATAGTTTGGAATAAGCATTTTTAACTTAAGGGAGATAATTATGTCACGGTTCAGAACTGTTCACTATATAGGGGAGAAGATGTGTAAGCGGCCGGATAGCTCAGTCGGTAGAGCCGCGGTACGGTATTCCGAGGGTCCCGGGTTCGAGTCCCGGTCAGGCTGCACATTTTTCTCACCCTGTGACATTTGGCGCCCAACGTGGGGCCGTGACTGCTTATAGCTCAGAGTTCAATTAGCATTGCTCTGTAGCTTTGTGAAATTCGAGGACGAATTTCAATACTGTGGTGAAGTATGTCACGGTTCAGAACTGTTCACTATTTAGGGAGAAGATGTGTAAGCGGCCGGATAGCTCAGTCGGTAGAGCCGCGGAACGGTATTCCGAGGGTCCCGGGTTCGAGTCCCGGTCAGGCTGCACATTTTTCTCACCCTGTGACATTTGGCGCCCAACGGGGGACCGTGACTGAATATAGCTCAGAGTTTCATTCACATTGCTCTGTAACTCTGTGAAATTCGAGGACGAATTTCAATATAGCAGGGATTATGTGACGGTTCAGAACTGTTCACTATTTAGGGGAGAAGATGTGTAAGCGGCCGGATAGCTCAGTCGGTAGAGCCGCGGTACGGTATTCCGAGGGTCCCGGGTTCGAGTCCCGGTCAGGCTGCACATTTTTCTCACCCTGTGACAATTAAAACATGTAGCAAGGTAGAGTTATGTTTCTTGAACATTGCACTACCTCTTAAAAGTCTCTATCACTTTGTAAAGTTTACATACAATCCCTTCAATACATATCTAGTTATATTTATATTCCGGACAAGAGTGTGAAGGACGAATGTCTTCCTAAGTTCAGACCGTGTTTTTTTTTCCTTAATCATCTAAAATCTCAAAAACACCATAAAAAACATATTTTCCTCCCATGAGCAACGTTTTTCCCCATAAGAACAAGTCTGTATGGAATGAACACGGATATTTATCCAAAATATTACTTGAGTCCATACCGACAGATGGTTAAGACCGCAACTATATTCTCTCCCTTTCAGGAGCACAAATTATAATAACATGCTAAATCTCCGTATAGTTCTATATCAGATACCAGTATGATGAACCTTGCTTTTGTACCTTTTGAGTAATATCAAAATTCAGATTTCATTGACATACAGAAAGGGATCAGCCTTTAGTCCCCTCTTAGTGAAAACAGAAGGGGACTAATAACAACAATTTATTCTCATAGTTTCAATTCTCAGGTTTATTACTTTTCATTAAACCAGGCAAGCTAAGATACATGTTAAAACCACAGGCACTAGACACAATTAATTTACCCATGTACGCTCATAATACTATATATAAAGAATAAAGATCCCTAACGAGAGAAAACTATCATGCAAAACAAACAAGAACTGTTCTGTAAAAATTTACCAGATCACTATTTTATCTTTGTGGTTGTCTCTAGGAATAATGTATCCTATCATAAACACTTTTACTTCATTGAAATCCTTCAAAATGCTCCAAAGTACGAGCAAGTTTCCAAATTTCACTGAAATGTCATTGCATGTCGTTTTCGACGCCCAAGCAATGCGTGTAAAAAAAGGTGAATTCTGGTCAATTTCTACAAAATCAACGAATAACTGTTAAAATTTCCACATACTTTCTTTAAGGCAACCTGTATACAGTCAAACTGCGAAGTCTTTACTTCTCAACTGTCCGACGATAACGCTAACAAGCTAAAACAAGAGGGCCATGATGGCCCTGAAGTCACTCACCTGTATATAGGCCCCACGGAGCGGGGCCAGTTTAAACTCCAGGGCTTTTATTTGAACAAACTTGGTAGACACCCATTAGAAGAAGTTTCATGCTAAACATCTAAAGTCTAGCTCGTTTGGTTTTTCAAAAGAAGATTTTTAAAGTTTTTTCTTTACACATATATTTAAAAACAATTACACTTACTAGAAGATGTTTCATGCTTAATATCTAAACTCTAGCTATTCAGTTTTTTTTTAAGAAGATTTTTCAGTTTTTCCTATACACATATAAGGAAAATAAATGTCCCATGGGGCGGGGCCAATTTTGACCCAAGGGCTCTTATTTGAACAAACTTGGTAGACATCCATTAGAACATGTTTCATCCTAAATATCTTAGTTCTAGCTCTTTGGGTTCTTATAAAAAAGATTTTAAGTTTTTTGTTATATTCATATAGGGAAAATCAATGACCTCCCTGGGGCGGGGGCAATTTTGACCCAAGGGCTCTTATTTGAACAACCTTGGTAGACATCCATTAGAAGATGTTTCATGCTAAATATCTTAGCTCTAGCTCTTTGGGTTCTTTAAAAGAAGATTTTAAAGTTTTTACTATATGCATATAGGAAAAATCAATGACCCCCTGGGGCGGGGCCAATTTTGACCCCAGGGCTTTTATCTGAACAAACTTGGAGACACCCATTAGAAGATGTTTCATGCTAAATATCTTAGCTTTAGCTCTTTGGGTTCTTTAAAAGAAGATTTTTAAGATTTTACTATATACATAATATTACTTATAGGGAAAATCAATGACCCCTTGGGGCGGAGCCAATTTTGACCCCAGGGCTTTTATTTGAACAAAATTGGTAGACACTAACTAGAAGATGTTTCATGCCAAATATCTAAGCTCTAGTTCTTTGGGTTTTTTAGAAGAAGAAATTTAAGGTTTTTTCTTTTGGTTGCCATGGCAACCAGAGTTTGGCATGGAATTAAATTCTTTGAACAATTTTCAATGGTGACCACCAAAGCAACAATCCTGTGAAGTTTGGATGAAATTGGCTTAGTGGTTTATGAGGAGATGTCATTTAAAGTAAAAATTTACGGACGACAGAGGACGGATAGACGGACGGACGAAAAGCGATCACAAAAGCTCACCCTGTCATAAAGTGACAAGTGAGCTAAATATTAAAATTATTGACAGCTCCGTTCCAGAAAGTAACCATTTCCTACATAACGGCACTGAATGTTAGGTAAAGTAATGATTGGTTAAGCGGGAAATCCGAGTTTTAACATTTTCCTTCAACACAGTGTTCATGACTGGCCTTTACTATTGACAGGGAATTCAACTCAGACTAGCCCTCTAAAATACTCCAACTAGTCCAAAGTGTTCATAGTGCCAATACAGTTATGATCACTACATCTGGAAACTGGAGATTCCCAGCGACTGTGATCCTAATCTTCATTTGCTTGACAGTGACACATATAAATTATATGAAGTGCAATAATTTGCAACAAAATGTTTATCTTATTTGTCTCTTCTTACATTTATAATGCAGAGCACTAGATTTGTGTGTCTGTAATACAAAATGACTTTCAATAATACTATTTAAATATATTTGAAATACAATTTCTTTAATAAATACTCATAGTAATACTTAATTCCTTTTTTGTGATATTTTTTTCTGTCACATATGTTCAGACAGTACATTGTGTACACCGGTCTTACTGACCTGTGTGAAACCACTCTAAGCATGATGGAACGCACTACTTTTTACATGGCGGCTTTAACACCGAAGTGATAGAACAAAACGCAAATGGGGCCAGTTGAAAAATTAAACCTTTTCCATACCCTGTTGGTGTAATAGCCTTTACATCATTTTTACTTAAAACATGCGCCAAACACTCCTTCTGACAATCCTTTATTGGTTTTACAAACCCAGTTTCGTTCAACACTCGTATTTCGTCAATTGTTAGTTTAAATTAAAACCGAAAGTGAAAGTAGTTTTGAATATTTGAATAAATAGTAACACAGTGGAACTATCAATTTTGCACTTGCAATATTAAACTCTGAAAAACAATGATCCTTTGAAAGCAATGAACAATATATTGTGTTTTATAAAATAAAATTGCCATCCCCACGCAGACTTCTTTATGTCAGAGTTATTTTTACCCTCATTTTGGATGAGTAATGCGTTGTGAGGACCGGTGTGTATACAATTCAGACAGTATACAATTAATTTGTTTAGACCGCATACAATTTAACGGTATAATTATTTATTGGCTACAAATAAAATTTTATGTAAATAATGGTTAGTTTAATAACCAATATGAATGTTTCAAAGATTATCCCTTCAAACTTTAAAAACAGTCTGTCAATTAAGCAGATCTTAGCAATAAATGCACACTAAGAAGAAAACAAGAGCAATCAGTGATCACGTGTGTCGCCTCATGATGGCCAATTTCATGTTGAGACAATTTTGTGACAGAGTAACAAACAGACGGACAGTGCACAACTAGACTTGGTACTGATAATTCATGTAAAGTTTGGATAAAATTGCACCAGTAGTTTATGAGGAGTAGTCCGGACAAGCTTTTGCATATCTGGCAACACACAGAAAAAAACAAATTTTTATCAAAGGGCCATAACTCAACCAAAAATCATTCAACCGGAAAACCTGTGCAATATGCGCAAGGACTTGAGGTACAGATCAATCCTGTAAAGTTTCATTGAAATTGCATTAGTGGTATAAGAGAAGTAGTCTGGACAAACTTTAAAATAAAAAAATATTAAAGGGCCATAACTCTGACAAAAATCATTGAACTGGAAAATGCTGACAATATGCACAACTAGACTTGGTACTGATTATTTCTGTAAAATTTGGATGAAATTGCACCAGAAGTTTATGAGGAGTAGTCCGGACAAGTTTTGTGACGGAGGGACAGACCGACAGACAGACAGACAGACGACGGAGAAGTGATCCCTATATGTCGCCACTACTCAGTAGAGGCGACACAAAACTGGTCAATCAAATTTATACATATTTAAATCATTTGGTGGAGAAACAATCACTTCACAGCTGTGCTTTGCTATTGAATATTTCTTTTGTTTCAATCTTGAATAACCAAAATGTAAATATGTTCATAAGGATGAATTGTATTGTAAATTTTGCATACATATTGAGGTCTTGTTCAAGGCAACAAAATTGTATTGTAAACTTTGCAGTTCCTTGTAATGCCCTGTAGGATTGATTTGTACTACCTTAAAACACCATATGTAAGTGATCATTTTCAGCAAAGGAAAAAGACTGTCATAGGCAGTATCTTAATGCCAATTGACAGAAATATTTAAAGTATGTTCTTAACTAACACTATAATAAACTGTGAGCATGCACTGACACTCTTTTATTTTAGGCGGTACTATATATGAACAAGTCTTGGACTATTTCAGTATGTAGATTAGAAATGCAAACTAAACAATTTCAGTTTCAAGCCTTTTCCTAGACATTTTGGGAAAAATTTCCTAGCACAGGTTAGGAAATTTTGCATCTTGATTGGGAAAAATATTCAGTACCATGTACAAAGTTGTTAATCCAACAAATTGTATATCATTCAAAGCATAAAAAATACATAAAAAATTGACAATGAAATGTGTTTTTGAACATCATCTGTCTGGTACCATATTGGATTGAAATGGAATGAAGAAAAATTGTCAGCTTTGATAACGGGAATTTTGACTTATGATTTTTTTCTAAACTTGGTAAAAAAGCATATTTGGCATTATTTGCCACTGGGAATGGGTCTGTTAATCTGGCCCGTGGTGACACTGGTAAAAATGCATAAAGGGGCATGAAAATGTTTTGGAAAACAGTTTGGTTTGTGAAATATACATTAATCTTCTAGTCTTTCTTTAATCTTATACTGTACTTTTTTCTAGCTACATGTACCAGCCTTTCCAAGTGAATATTGAAGTAAATGATCTTTTATTTCCCTGAAAATATCAATTAAGAGATTTCATTTTCAGAGTTATCTAATACTACTCTCTTAGTGTGTGTATATACAATCTAGTTTTAAGCTGTTTTGAGAACTACTTGTTGATAGATTTGTCGTGAAACTTCTGTGTCAGAGATTGAATGTCCGCTTTGTATTTACTTATTTTCGATCAGAAAATACAATAAAACAATAGAAGAAATCTTCGACCATTGCGGAATTATTTTGCTTGAAAATTAATGCGCATGTCTTTGACCATCTTTACGCAGTGATCTCCCCTGAATTTTTTCGTCGGCGTTAGTGTACATAAAAAGGGAAGTAACCGCTTCAAAAAAGTGGACTACTTTCGGCATTTGCAATTAACAGCATTAGACTCTGAAATTTCGTTACCATTATTTGTTTGGTCTGACGACCCAAACAAATAAAAACTAGGAATGATGGAGACATTTTGTTTTCATTGCAAATAACCGTTTCTTTTGGATTATTAAGTAAATCATCGGAAAGTCAATTTTAATCCTTCGGATGGATACCAATGGGATTGATTATAATAACAAAGTATTAAGATTTGAATGTTTGTGTTTGAGTGGCGTATAGCTGTATATGCTGTATATGTTTATCATGATTTCAAGGAAGAGTTTAATTTTTAAAAGTTATAATAAGCAAATCATTCATGCTTTCTTTAACATTAAATACTTGCCTAGATGAAGATTATGAATTGTAAACACGTATATTTAGCAGCCTCATATTAAAATTTTGTTAAAGTCTGACTCGAGCCATGTTTTGTACAAAAGTACAAAATCTACAAAACTGAAATATAAAAGTTCGTTTTTTATAAAGAATATTATATGCTTCGACAGCTTAAAGACAAGAATATCGGCAACATTTATGGATGCCCCGATTCAGTGCTTTGGTCAACATTACCAAACTGTTATTGATAGATTTGCCTTCCTGATTAATGCTACCTAGGATTCACTGTTATTCCAGTTTTTTTCTATAAGCAGAAACCTCGGTTACAACACTTCTAGATAGATATAATTGTTTAGCCATTTAAATACAACAATAAGAACAACAATGACTAATAATACAAATGTAAAATATTTTATTTTAGACAATACAACACGTTTATTAACAGCTTTACAATGTATATTAAATTTGAAAAAAAGTATATATTCATCTCGCTCGTTTAAGTAAAGAATATGTTTGATTATTGTTTATAAAGTCAAGAGAGCAGTGCAATAACATTATATAATGTAAATCAAAATATTCATTACACTAGAATCTTTATGAAATTTTATCAAATAACCCTTATACATATCTCGTATCAATGATTTAATATATATGAGTAGATATGCCTGCACGGACAAACAAGAATTTAACACTTTCAGTCTGCACATATTTTCTCCCAGTCTGGCCAATACACATCCTTGATTCTGTCAAGATAGTCCATTACGTTCTGTTGTTTTCCACCTGTTAATGTAATTAAAACTAAATTTATTACTGGTTGGGGGATTGTGTTTTACACAATTTGTGGCAATATTCTAAGAACCCAACCTGTTATTTTTTTCGGGATATGTTTGTTTTCAGAAATGTTTGCGTGATCTGTATACAATTTTGTTTTAAATTGAAACTTCAAGTTCAATTTCGAATTGTAGTAGTATTCTTGAAATTTATCAAATTAGTATTGAATGGCAAGTGCACTTTCAAAATGTAGATGTTATTCTTCAAAATTGGAAAAAAATCCAGCAAAAAAACAAAACAATTTAAATGTTGACATATATATTAATCACGGCTTATAACGATGTAAAATTGTGTTTTATATACAAGCATGTACAGCGACTAAATGTTTCCACGTTACATCACTTTTATTGTTTTTGTATGAAAGAAACATTACTTATTAGAACTAGCAATGTTGTAAACGGTCATCGACTAAATCATATAAACAATTACGCTTTCTAAATCATATTTTGCCATATATTTTTGTAGGTAAATTGCGTATCCTCGACTGTAATTTAAACATCAATATGATAGTATTATTATACTAAATGATTATTTAATACAATTACAACTTATATTTCTCTTTATAACATTTGAAATACAAATATACTTAAATTTAAATGAAAATGTTATCGCTAACAGACAGTTCAGATGGAAATCTTAAAATTGATATTCAAATACCAGACAATATCACTGGAAATGGTATTACCTGTCAATAATTGATGTCCAGGGCATGACTTTGGTGTACACCATCTTATTTGTGACATTATTCCAAAAGCAGCGCAATCAACTTCGCTTATTTTGTCACCCATAATAAACTTTTTGTCGCCTATAAAACGAGATAAATATACTTTTTGTTATTATTATAAATAATATATAATAACTTTAACTTTATTCACAAAAGATAACAAACCCATAAGTGACATGGAACATTATAAATATAACAACTTAACATAAGACATCGTGGCATAAAACAATATACTAGTATGAGTAATTATAATTATGTTAGTACATATTTTGTAAATCAAAAATAACACACTATGCAATGAGCATTGCATTCATGAAAATTTAAAATCTTACAGACAAAGACACTCGAAATAAAACTCTAAGCATAGCACAGCTACAATAAACATACAAACAGAAACAGTTGTACTGATTGTAGAATTGAAATTGTTGCATATAATGTACTTATCAAGTAAGTTTGACACATATATGTTACATATATGTTTATCGAAAATCAAACAAAAAACTAAGGGGGGGGGGGCTACAAATTTATACATATGTATTGATTAAACCATTTATATGATAGCCAAACATACCAAGGAGTTTAGCAAACTGTTCTAGATCTTTAATTATCATTTCATTTACTTTCTCATCAGTATGTTTACCAATACCTACAGCTTTTGTTAGTTTCTTCTGCCACCATCTTGCAGGACTTCGAATTTATTTAAAGCTGCTGGACATTCAACCATGTTGACAATCAGATCGTCCCAATACATGTACCATCGGGAATGGTAGTTTAAAAAGTTGCCCCGTACTTCACTTTAGTGTTGTTATATTTTTCTGGTCCTTCGGGATCATTGATACCAGCACTATTAAGTGTTGAGAGTTGAGTACCGCTCAAGCCGGTGCTAGGGGGCGTGAGGGATGTTGCACTTTACATTATCCCTCATGTACAGACTCAATCAAACCGAGTCTGCAATTCTCTTGTAATTTTGTTGTGATTAATGCTTCCGAGGGATCACTTTGTTTCCAGATTTTTAACCTTAAAAAGCAATCTTATTGTTCAAATTGAAATAGTATAAGGGTTTTTGTCTCAAAATACATTTCTTACGAAATAATGAACTGCTATTATTCCAATTTAAAATGTGAATTTAAGGAAACAAGCAAAGTTTTTCTTTGCACGGAATCTATTATCTTTTAACTGAAGTAAAAGGCTTAGTTAAATTTCGAACCATGGCTAAAAAAAACTAATATTCATTATGTTGGTTACATTGAATTGGGTAATGGCCTAAGCATTTAGGGACCACTGACAACATCAAGTTTGTATATATATTTTTTAATAAAATGCTCGTCATTTTTTATTTGCGGGGTATGATGTACAGTAATTAGTAATAGAATTACACATACCAATATGTGTATTCTTCTAACCATTTCTGTATGGCCCACGCTGTAGCTTTTTCCTCATCAGACAAATGTTCATTCAAATCAACTTTAAACATCTCATTTAAGCGTCGTATAATAACGCCCGAGTCCCCTATCTTTATACCATCAATATCTATCCACGGAACAGTATTCTTTGGTCCTTTACACCAATCTTTAGAATCCAGCTAAGAATGAATATAAATTTTCTAATTATATCTATTATTCAATTAACTCTTCTTAAGTTATAAAATACTGCCGCAATCAATAACTTGTACGTCGATATAAGAAAAATATGGACATATACGTATCTTGTAAGTTTCTTTTCTTTTTTTGTCACTTTAAAATCAAACCAGTGCAATTACGTACGAAAAAAGAGACTTTATATTTGATGTTTTAAGTACTCAACACATTTGTCCAATAAAGCATGAACAGGTCAATACGTTTATATATTGAATGTTGCTTTTTGAGGAAACTTGATAATCCTCCTTTCAAAGCCAATCTACACTCATGTTTTATTAGTGTCCAACTTTATTTGTCATCGAATGAACACGCTGTATTTCTGTGCGTTAAAGTTCGTAGAAGAACAAAAGGCGATACTATATCGAATCCCGTCCATAGTTGATTTCTTTTTTTCATAGTACTTCATAGAACCGCTTAGTGACGAAATAAAGTGAATGATAATGAGGCCAAATAAAGCTTGACCCCTTATATGTTAGTATTCATCCGTGCTGTTCTACAGAAATTAGAAACATTATCCTGTCGCTATCGCTCCCGTCGTTGTTTCTAATTTCTGTAGAACAGCACGGATGAACACTAACATATACTTGGGAAATCACCGGTCCAATAGCTGGTAAAGCAAATCATGATTCAATATAATACGACTTATTTTGTATAAACAGATCTGAAATATTAGTTACCTAGCAAATGAAAAATAATCATATACCCGTGCCAGTTTTGCGTTATAGACGTACTAATCTTTGTATCACTTCATGAGAAGATCAATGAAAAATTGACCTTTTTATTGTCAACAATTCTTACTCTAAGTGTGTGCTGAAACGAATATTAATATTCATGTTCATGTAAATTCATTACTAAATTTATTGAACTCGTTTGATAAAATAATATTAAGTTCGGCAGACGCTCGCATAAAATAGAATTTTATTCAACTCGTTCATCAAATTCAGTATTGAACCTACACTCATTCAATATCTTCTATTCAGTTTTTGACTTACCTTATATGGAATTTTGCTGATCCTCATGTATGTTTCAAGCTTCATAGAAAATACGTCCACATTTGGAATAAGTTTAACACGTTGGTAACTATGAAGTACCACGTGATCTGTATTAATTTCCATTCCTGAACACCTATAATAAGAAAATATTTACAGTAATGAAGTGTGGTGGATGTAAAATTATAGGAATTTGTACATGATGGTGACGGTTATTTTAATTTAAAAATATCCTGTTAATAATTTGAAAAGAAATTTTACCTTGAAAAAAAGCATAGGTAAAAGTTAAGCAAACCACATCATAATACATCACAAGTGGATGAAGCGGATTGAATACATATGCACATCTTCACCGATATAAACATTCAGTAATAATATCTTAAATATCACTCGTCGAAAATATTTAGAAAATATTAAAGTATACTTCTAAAGCCATGTTTTTGACAGGTTTTAAAGAGAAATGCAATTCATTTAAGATACACTTGTTGTTGGAAAGCTTAACGCCATGTGCATATGAATACTGGTCGCTTTAAATTATGACAGCAAAGACATAACCCTCATCACCTTGTTCACCTTTCACAATCACGATTTTTATGTTAAATAAGTAAAAAAAATAGGTCTCATTTTAATATTGATTTTAGCTGTAGAATTTATCTTAAACTAGAAACAATAGACATTAAGTTGTAAAATCTAAAGCACTTACTGTTCGTCAAAATTCGTCTTGGCACACTCGCTATCACTGTATCCTAGATCTAACCCAGGGTAAAGGTGAGGTTTTATCTCGTGTAGGGAAGACATCATCTTTTAATGATTATTTAGTATCAAAGTCTCAATAAAACAAAATATATAATATATATTATTTTCAGTGTAAAGTTGAATTACAATCTTTGATTTATATCCTATGTGGTTACAGCAAGCAGTATATATAATACAACTCGTTGTGCTCTATCGGGCGTGAAAAGCCACGTCTATGAATGAATACGTATATAGCAGTAATGTGCGCGTGACTTGGAAAAATTGTATTTCAAAATATTGGAAAAATATGTTGTACAAATTGTCATATGCTGGTTCTAATAATATTCTAGGGAGTGGCATAAGTTACGTAGAGAGAAATCAGAGTGCCATCATATGATGGAACATATAATAATAATCATTATGATGAAACAGAAAATCAGTAATGGTGCACTCCATTTAAAGGAAAAGTATGATTCTTTCTGATAGAAAAATATTGTTTGCAAACTTGATTCGAGGGATCACTTTGTTTCCAGATTTTTGTACTTTTTCAACAGCAAGTGTCAAGTGCAGTGTGGCAGCTATAGAAAATTTCCCTTTACTTCACTGCAGTGTTGTTATATTTTCCTTGTCCCTCGGGATCAATGATGCCAGCACTTAGTGTTGAGACTTGAATACCGCTCAAGCCGGGGCTAGTGGGCGTGAGGGATGCTGCACTTATTTATTATCCCTCATGTACAGACCCAATCAAAACGTGTCTGCAATCATGTTTTATGTAATTTTGTTGTAGTTAATGCTTCCAAGGGATCACTCTGTTTCCAGATATTTATATAATTTTATAATTTTACCATTGAAATAAAGATATATTATGATTATAACATATTATCGTTTGGAACTGTGTACACTTTATAAATACCAAATAAAATGAAATATTTAACAACAAAGACTATTAACAAAAAAGTTAAAATATGTTTGTACGAAGATTTCACATTCGTGACACAAATCTGTGTATAGAAAACGACCACCTCTCTTGACATTATATCATAACTCGGTATCATCGGTTTACGAGCAAACAAACACACTGATCTAGATCACTAAGTCCTGATGCAGCTTCAGAGGAAGTATCTATGGTTAATGTAGGTAGGTGTGTACTCAGATATAACATAGGCTTTGAAGCATATTTTCTTTTCAACATTATAATCACTTTCGAGTACATATCATAGACTGACCATACATGTAATTGCTAATGAAGAATTGTGGGCCATTCTTTATCGATTAATTTAAAACGGTTATTTCAGCACAAATTCGGAATTTCCGGTTGGCTTCTGTGAGTCCGCAGAACTGGATATGGTGGCATGCTTAGAGGGTCTGATTCTGTGTCCACTTATAGTTAGTGTCTGTCTGTTAGGAATACTGTGGTATTTTACCAGAACAATTGAAAAGCCTCCCAATGCCATAGGGGTCGGGATGGGGATTAAATATCGTAGGAATCTCATGTAAAGGGGTTGGTGGTAGAGAATTTGACTCAGGTGTAGCTGATTTTATTTGCATGCATTTGTCGTATTTCACGACCTTTTATCTATATATGACATCATCTCCGGACAGAAACATTGCTGAAGAACCCATGGCGTAGTTCTTTTCTTTTTCACCAGAATTGTTTATGTCAGTGTATATTTTTGTCTAAAGCATTTAAGATGAACTGTTTTCCTTGTTACCATCCTAGTTATCTTAAAATTCTACTTCATAATCAAAGGTGCTTATCGCATTGATTTGACCTAAAATATGTTCAATCTTGTTATTTCATCTCAGCATTTTATTACTAAATATCCAATGTAATAAGAGCTAGTTAGATTTACTAAACGCATAAATTATATCTATCAGCCTTCAACATTAAACGTATATTGACTTTTTCAGCAGAGCGAACAGGAAACATATACATTTATTAAATTATTATAAGAATAATAATAAAACATTGAAAATAAGATACTTTGAAACTTTCAGGGGTTGTGAGGTGAGCAGCACTCCCCTTTAACCGCCCCGGCTATAATAGTGTATTGTATGGCATGATATATTTAGCGTGGAAAATCCAAAAACTGTTTCTATTTATAGTCAAAATGGGTTTATAGTTTAAATCATGAATCGGGTGACATATGCGATTAAAAAATTGGACAACCCTGCTCTTCAGTGAAGAAGTGAATTTTAAAAGAAAACTATCGCTTGAAAAACACGAATTTTTGTGAACAATTTATTATTTTGGCTTAATTTTCTACGTCTATAAATGTAAAAATATGTTGAAAATGGGTTTACGGATTATACTCTAGTCTGAACACCTTAAATAGTTAAAGGATCATTGTTCATTAGACAGACTTAATCATTAGACTAGTGTAATACTTTCCAGTGAAGCAATAATGATAAAAGGAAATCATTGTTAGAAAAAGGTTAGTCAAAATATATCGACGTGCCAAAGCAAGATTCTGAGATTCGTTAATTCTGGGTCCGAATCTCGCTTAGGCCAGACACAAAATAGCACAATATCTCGTCGCACGGTATAATTAGTTGGCTTGAAAAGGGTAAAACCTACTTTATTCTATTTCTCATGGGATTTGATAGATCTAATAGAAACTGTTTCTTCTATTTCTGTAAAATGTATGTTTGTTGGATTTGAAAGAACTAATAGAAACTGTTTCTTATATTTCTTTAAAATGTATGTTTGTTACTCTGCCAAATTCATCCAATTATGATACACGTCACATGTCAGTGTTCATAAAATGCTTATGTTAGCTTATGTATGAGTATCATGTTTTTGAAGTCTAAATATATTGTCATGCCAAAGCCAGATTCTAAGATATGTTCATTCTGGCTCAGAATCTCGTTTTTCCAAACTTGCAGTATTGCTTTTTTCACACAGTTGTAGGCTGATTAAATCATTACGCTAATTCTAGCTACAAGTGGAATTAAAAGAATTTCTGTCTCAGGCTTAAATTTGTCTACCAGTGATAAATATCAGATGAAAATATTATTTTACCATAATTAAATATGTATGCTATTGTTTTCCACCTTATAAACTAATCAATGTCTATTCTATTTTATCTAACACGTAATTCATTGGCTATTTTAGAAATGTTTCTTTAAATAGTGTATCGTGTGATATATTTAGCTGTAAAATTCCCACAGCTGTTTCTATTTATAATCAAAACGGTTTACCGGTTTCTGATCCGTTACTAGAAGATATTAGCGAAAGGTTGCATCCATACAACATAACAAGCGACAGTTAGGATATAATTTTAATGAGAAGGTAAAAGCTATTCTTATAATACGCCTTAACCCTGTTAATCTCAGTTTATTATAACTGGCTTTTTATATCACCATTAAACGTATAAAATACCTAAGTTCTAAACCGGACAGATATTGAAAGAGGTTAATTTTATAGTGTAATAAAATACAAATTTATATAGAATTATTCAAAGTGCACTTGTATCCGAATGCGGATCGAGAAATTAATCTGAAATAGATTAAAAAATTGATACAATTTATAAATTTTGCTCTATCACTGATTACATTATTCTTTGAAAAGTAAGGTTTTAATTAAAACTTAAGTTCCATTAGGTTCAACGATTCAAACATATTTTTAATTATAGGTCATTAAAAGACAATTATGCAGTTGATAAATAATTATGCTAATATAATAGAAATGTCAGAATATTTATCATATTATGCTTTAGTATCTTTTAATGTCATTTTTAACAAAGAAAAGTAAATTCAGTGTTCTGGTCACGTGCTTGACATAATTTTTGTTCATTTGTTGTTTCATCAATGTATTGTCATCGTATGAAACAATGAAATAAGAAACTTCAATGTACTCTCATTTGTATTTTATATATTTGAGACACTATACACACTATGTGCTGTTTATAAAATACTTAAATAAGCACACAAAAAAATGTGTAGCAATAATTAAACTTTTTTGAACTAAAAGCATTGATTCACACTTATTCTTTTGCGTGAAAATATTCTTTCATTATATTAATTTACTTTTGCACATCTTTTAATCAATATTTATCAAATTTTGTACAACGTTTGCTTCTACTGAACTAAAAATGATCAATACACAACAATGTACTGCTTTTTCAATAAAAAATAAAGAAACAAGTAATGCTGTTTGTATATATTAATAATGGATTGTGCATTTTACAGATGGCAGACAAATACTATAGACTGGTTTGCTTTTTGGTAGATATTTGCGCCGACGTATTAAGGAAATATTTCATCAAACTTGCAAGAACTGATGCTGGTAGCACTTATACATCAGTTGATGCATACCTATCTCACAGAAATCGGGATGTGATGCAATTATTCAATAACAAAAAGCTCAGGAGAGATCAATATGACTTATTGTATCCTGGTAACGGCACCGCTGATGAAAACCAGTGGGACGTATCAATACTGGTAACATTGATAACAGAACTTTTTGCCACACGTCTGCAGCCAGTCGAAATATTCACGTTGAAAACTGAAATTCGAGGGATTCGAAATGAGTTGCAGCATAACCCAAATACTGGCAATATTTCAGATGATGACTTCGATGATTATTGGGGGCGATTGGACTCTTCTGTGAGGCTTATAGCAACGAATGCGCTTGATACAAATGACCATGCATCCTTACTAGAGAAAATAAATCAGGTAAAATGTAATCATCTACCAAATCTCAGTGATTGTCAACGGTTATGGCATGAAGAAACAATTAGGCAGATGTTAAACATTATGGACGAAGTGCAGGCAAATACATCCATTCTCAGACAAGTGACGGTCCAAAAGCCAGGACCTTCAGGTAAGTTTCAGTAATTATACATGAACTTAAGGTTTATATTGCGTGTATTTTTTATTCTTATTAGATCGTGTCATAGTATTAATTCTTATTTATCGGAATCAACATGATAAGCTCATTGAAATTGTCAAAATATTTCGAAAAGATCTGAATCTATCGATTTAGAAATTTTACACTTAATTCTCAAAATGATATATATTTGAAATGATTGGTTAATTATCTTCGACATCGTTCAGAAACTTTATAATTAATTGTTGCTTCGATATTTGTATTGTTTATTTGATGTTGAATATTAAAATTACTTCAGGGGACAAAAATAAAAGAATCAAAGTTGCTGATGATATTCTGGCACGGCTTCAAGGTATGTTGGTAATTAAGAAAACAACATTCGAAAAGTATTGTCTACATTCATTTCTGAGACATTTTTATTCCATTTTAATCTAATATGATCTAACCTATCACATCAGACATACAAATTACAGTATCTCTATGATCAAATAAAAGTAAATACAAGATTTTGGTTTTCATGAGGGCATTATGTACATACAATCGTTTTCTATTTGTAAGCGGGGTTTGAGTCAACGATGAAAGAACTATCAGGCGATTTCAACCCACCAAGTGAAGTGACAGACATTCGAGCTAAACTAAGAAATTTTCATCACGTGGTTGTTACTGGATGCAACAATAGCCGTTACTTTGAGACCGCTCTTGCAGCAATAAAGGGGATAGACTATAACTACCAACGAAGCGTAGAAATGCATACGTCATCTGATTGGCGGCACATTGATCCACAAGATGTAGATTTGGTTTTATGTAGAGATCCATTTGGGGGATTTTCTTACGATGAAAGCAAAACTAAAGCCATGGAAGATATATTTAAAAGCATGATGCATTCAACAAAGAGAGATAATGGCGATAAAGCCTTGGACATAATCATAATAACTGACCTGAATATATTCGAAGAGTGTAAAATGCATCATGACCATGAAATCTTAGACGAAGTGGTGAAGGTGTTTATTGAGACAAGTTCAGCACAACCGGCTGACCTTACAATAGGTATATCATTTATCGTTTACTCTGCGTTTAGCTATTTTAATTTTAAAAAGAACAAATTTCCCATTTCCGGGGTTAAATATTTATTTATTTTAGTTAATGTTTTTGGAATTTAAAAATTTTTTAAACCCAAAAAAAATTTTTCTTTTTCCCCCTTTGTTTTTTAAAAAAGTTTTTTTTTTTTTCCCATGGGTTTTGAACGGGGTTCTACTATTATTTACTGATGGTAATGTATTGTATATTTGATGCCTTATTGGGGTTAATCTCGCCCTTTTTCGCATTGAAACGGGTAATGGCGGCTTTGCCGTTCGAAAACTTAAACTTGTCAATTTTTTTTAAATTTTTTGGTGTATTCCCTTTATACAGGGCAAAAAACCTGGGAAAAACCTTTTGTTTAGACTAAATTGCATTTTTTAAACAAATGACTTTGACCTTCAAATTCTAAATGTTGCTTGAGCTTTGCTATAAATGACAATAACTTTGTTATTGTTAATTGATTGTATCTTAACTTAAACACACCATTTATTTAGGATATATCTTCAAGTTTTACTGCCTAGTTAAGTCCTGAAAACGATATAGAAGTTTTTCACCCTAAAAGCTCCCACACGGAGTCCCAACATAACTCCGTTTTCAGGCTTAAACCAGACAGTCAAACTATGAACTTTTTAAGGATTATATCAAGTACTTAAAGCCAATTTTAGAACAAAAAAATATTTCATCTTCGAGTCGACGGGATGTTTATAAAAAAGAGGAAAGAAAGAAAGCTGTAGTATATGACATATTATCCTAACATTATCATAACTTTTTTATTTTTTAGTATACAAATCTTATTTATATGTGGACATGACAACACTTTTTGACAAAAGGACATTTAGATATGACCTTGATCTTTAAATGATCTTTATTGTCAAGGTCAGGTGATTGAATATTTGCTTATATTTCTTACATTTGTCATTTACTTATGGAAAGGATTCATACTTGGACAAAACAAAAAGTCTGACAAGACAGACTTATTTAGATTAATGAGGGAAATAATTAATTTTATTTTTAAAGATTTGTTTAAACCGTTAAACCATCAGCTTTAAAAAAGTAAAAAATATCGCAACTACTGTGTGGTAGCTCTTGTTTTATTGAATAAAACCTTATTTGTTTATTCGTTAACTTTTTACATTTATACCACTGTATGTTTTATTAAATAGTTTAAAATGAATTTGAAAATCTTCTTCGTTACAGGATGTAGACGTCAAGGACAATACGCGCAATCGTCTTCGCTGCCAGTAACCAGAAATAATTTGGGAGGTAATATTGTTTCTTTTTCATGTATATTTGTAATTAATTAAAATCATGTTTTTTTTTTGTATTTTTTTACAAATAATTTGACTTTCTTTATTTTTAAGCTTTAACGGAATGTTTCCTGAATGCTTATAAGATACCCAGTGGTCAAGTAGATGCACAGATACTTACAAAAGCAAAGAGAAGGTTCCAAGTTAATAAGGCCATAGTATTAACAGGGCATAAGGAATGTGGTAAAACGTCTATAGCTGTTGCATTGACGTCTTCTTATGACGTAAAAGAATGTTTACTTCTCAAGGAACCTAATGATGTCAATTACATTGACTTCCCGAACATCTGCTTGGTGATAATTGACGAGTTTGCTGGGAAATATCGTTATGAGGTGAATGATGTTTACAAATGGTACAATATGTTTGACCATCTGTATAATGCCGTTATAGCAGGACAGATGAACGTGATAATAACGTGTGAAAAGGATAAACTAGAAAAATGTATCAACGAAATTGGACGGCATGCCATTCTTGACCACGTGGTGGATGTAACTTTACAAAAAGCTGTCGTTAAATTAGAAGTAACTGAACGTAAGTTGAATATATTGAGTAGTGTTATATATCATACCATCGTTATATTTCTTAAAGTCATTTTAAAACATGAATTTCACTATCATAATAAATGTTTATGTGACTAAATTAACGGTTATGTCTTTAAATGTTAAGATCGGAAAAAATAGATCAAAATAGTTGACTTAATGTCGATTTTAGTGGAGTTAATAATTGTTTTGCAATGCATGCCATTATACATGTATTTCAAAAAAAGTCAGGTTTTTTGTATAGTTTGACATTTTATAGATATTCGATTTTCTTTAACCTTTTACCGCAGAGTATATTGTGAAAATGCCCAATTTCATTGAAAAGCCTCCTGTTACAAGTTCAAACTACTGTGAAACTATGAAAAATGCTTCAATACTGATGAAACTTGGCACAAAAATTGACTGGACGTACCATAGCCTTTGTAACAGCTATTTTTTTTCCATCAAAACTGATTTTAAAGTGCTGCAACTTTTAAATGGATAGTGATAAGTAAAAAGCCTTATAGCGTTGGTTACATGTTACCTTAAAATCGACATGGGGACATTTTTAGACTGTTACATGTTACAATTTTTTTTTGGTGATGAGGATATTATTGCTCACTTTCAAACCCCCAAACAGAAGGGGATACATTCCCCTCTGCCCCTCTGCCCCCTTCTTGCACCTTTTAATAGGGGGCGGTGCTGAAAAACTGAACACTTGTTTACAACATTTCACAAACGAAAAATAGTGTTTGGGACATAAATAGGGCATTTATTTATTAGTTTAGACCTCAAAACGGATGGGGTGTGAAAAGCCGTCAAAACACGTTTATATGAGATAAAAGGTTAAACAATCTACTCTGGGATATACAATGGAGTTGAATTGTTTGTATTTTGACAGTAAGCTTTAAGATGGCATATATTTTTCTTTTCCTGACTAGAATATGGACATGTGTCTGGACAGAAAGTCACTACAGATCATTATGTAGGCACCATATCAAATACCACACAGACTCTGAATTACACATCATCATTGTTAGCGGACCCGTCACAAGGGCCAATCCCGCTGTCAAGACATGGCACGATTCCGATTTCTACAGGAAATACTTCAATTTTAGGAAGGGCACAAACGGAAGGTTTGTCATTCATTGTATGCGATGCATGCCATTATATTTATACAAGTGCCATGTTTCTAGTAATTTAATACTTTTAATCCCCTTCGCAAAGCGGGAGGGGATTATAGGAATGGCCTCCGTCCGTCTCTCTATCCGTAACACTTTCGTGTCCGCTCAATATGTTTTGAAAGTAACTTAGCACAAGTGCTCATCATTATGAGACAATGTGCAGAGCGCAAGAATTTGGTTGCTTCCACAAGGTCAAGGTCATACTTACAGGTCAAATGTTAGAAAAAAATACATTTTGTGTCCGATTTATAAATTTTAAACCAAAAATAACTTGGCACAGGTAATCACAATTATGAGACGATATGCAGGGTGCAAGAGTTGGGTTGCTACCCCCAAGGTCAAGGTCACACTTAAAGTCAAGTGTTAGAAGGTCTAATTTAAAAAAAGTATTGGCGCCTATGATCACCATCATCACCTACAGAGGGAACAACCAGGTGACTACTCCCAAAGTCAAGGTTATAAAATAACCAGCAGTCTGCTTATTCTCACCTGAATGATTTGTAAAACATGAAAACTTATACAAATAATACATTAGAGTCACAATCAAAGTATCAAAAGTTGAAACAGGACTTATCACGAAAGCCCATGAAACAGCAATTTTGCCTGAAGCATAATACTAGCAAATATGTAAGAAACTTGTTCTAAAATTACCCATAGCTACCAAGACCTTGACAAAAATTTCAAAAAAATAAGAGGATTTACTAAGGTATCCTTCTGAATATTGAAGTTGGTCAATAACTGAACTTGACTTTTGTGATGAGCAAATGTACTTATGATATGCATGGCACAACTTTAAGGGCTAATCTTACAGTTAAGTCATGACAGGATTTCTACAGGAAATACTTCACTTCTAGGCAGAGCACATGTTGAAGGTTTGTCTTACATGAATAGTCATCAATATGAATAAAATTCGAATCCCATAGAATTTTATATAATTAGCTACACTAATAAAACTATTATTCCCCGAGGATTACAGCCGAGTATAACTTTGGCGTTGTTCTTTGGGCTGTTTATCTTTGCATCTGGCAGTCTTTTAGTCTAACATTCCCTCAACACTACAGCTAGTTTAGTTATAAATCTTATCTACATATGTAGAAACATTTTATTGAGGAGAAGTGCAGTGTAAAGCAGCTGTTTCGTTTCATTTCATAGTAACTAAAGTATTACCTTTTAATTTTTTTAAACCGTAACTTTAACTCTTTATGTGTTTAGTTATTAACGTTTTATATAATACGTTCATATGAGTCATCATGAAATGGTGTATTAATCCAGAACTTGAGCTCTTCATCCCATAACGTTTGCGCCATTGTCCTTGGTGTCATAAATCTTGTTGTCTTTCAAATTATTTCCGTTATCAAAAAGAACATAATAGTGCACAGATGACATTGTAAGATACAGATTGTGAGATTTTTTCATCTCGCTGTTGGTCTGAGTTATTAATCAAATATAACCAAACTCTGAATCTGCATCTTTAGCTACGGCTCTTTGTAGGTTATCAAAATAATAACTTATGTGCAAGATTTTAACATATCTTGGAATACTTTTGTTTGTCTTTAAGGAAAAGATTCACATCAAAATTCATCAAGGAACGCATGCATCGTTATGAATTACTAGTACTACAATTCTACACTTAGAAATAACCGTTTATTAGAGAAATATTGGCCGGCTTTGTAATGGTGATTTATTTGTTATTGTTATTTATCCAAACTGACATAAATGCATATTGGTAATGGAGTTAAAATCCACAGAGTAAATAATTTTACGTTTTTTGTTATCCTTGTCTACTTTGATAATTTGAGCATAATTTTAGCTAAATCCTTAAATTGATTCTCTTATATATAGTAACATACTTATAATTGATGACCAAAATAACATGACAATATGTCATACAAATATTTTATTGTCATAGTAGCTCGAAAGGTTGTCCTTTTGTTACAGCTCATTTATGTCAGCCTTGTACATGTATCATAATTAAGGAAGGCATTGAGTCGCCTCTATTTTGAAAAAAACAATATATGAACATCTCATTTCAGGAATACAAAATCCAATGCAATTGAAAAGAGGATTCTCTGGAATGGAAAGGTACAATATGTTAACATTCTAAGTCAATATCTCTTTAGCTAGTACATATCTCAATATATTATGCATGAACATGTCGTGGTCGAGATGGTCATCGTGAACGTGGTCTATATACATGCACAGCGTAACGAAGTAATGTCTACGTGTCATATGACGTCAGTTATGACAAATTAACCTTCTGGCGCCGGAAAAATAAATTCTACGCTCAATGTAATCAGCATATTTCTATCCATTCTCTTTTATCTCAGCAATTTAGAATAAGTAATATAGTGTTTATTCCGACTGTTCTATTGGAACATTTATAAAGGTGAATTTGACTAGAGCTAAAAGGGCACTTTGCATTTAAACATGAATTGAACTGATTTAAACTTATTTAAGATTAAAATTGAATTTAACGATTTTTAGCTCACCTTGCACAAAGTGCAGGTGAGCTTTTAGGATGGCCAACCCAATGCGTTCGGCGTCCGTTCACATTTTATTCAAACGACATCTTCTTCAATACCACTTGGCCAATATTAATGACACTAGGCAGGAATACTCTTTGTATGAAGCTCTATCAAGATTGTTCAAAGAATGCCATTCCATGCTAAACGTTGGTTGCTATGGCAACTAAAAGAAAAAACTTAAAAGTTCTTATACTTCAAAATGGAAAGGGCTAGAGCTTAGATATTTCTCACAAGGCATTAGCTTGATTGTTCCTACAAAGTATATTAAAGTTGAAAATTGGTCTCTGTTTTGGGAGTTAAAGGGTTTTTTTATTGCAAGATTATGTAGACTTTCTTTGTAGGGATAAATTGAGATAGTGTTTCTTGTATTTTTGTCTCAACAGACATTGTTATGAAGATTTTTCTGTTAAAGCATTAGAAGGATGAAAAGTTTGTTGAATGTGAATGTTAATTCAAAACAGAGTCAATCAGAATAAAACAAATTTTAGAGCTACAGTGAAGTTGACTTCCCCATTCAAAAATGGATTCTTCCATTAATTTCGTAACACCATCAGAAAGGAAGACTGTGTCATTTCCGAAATACCATGTAAAATATTTCTGTTCTTAATAATGACTTGCACATTTTAACTTGTAAGATATTGCACACAGAAACGAAAGTGAACAAAAAAATGTTGTTTTTTCCCCACAAAAATTAGTTGATTAAGATAAAAGTTTAATTTACAGCACGGATATTACTTTTTGTATTTTTCCGGTTTGCGGGGAAAATCAGATATTTCAACATCGTCTACACCGCTCTTACTGATGAACGAATTATGTCATAATATTTCATTCTGAGAACAAACATACGATTCAAATCATTAAATAATGCATACCAATCAGTCCATAAAAAACTTTGCCTCAGAAAACATCTGTATCAATCTGACCTCGAGTTGAGATTATAAATTATACTAAACCGGAAGTAGTCCGCCAATCAAGAAAATTGAGAAATTTTGTAACATAAACTCGTATTTCATAACAAAGAAGTGAAGATGAATACAATTATCGGTGTGCTTCGTTGAAACAGGTATTTTGTTAACTATTTGTGAAGTATTAAGGCATGACATTCAGTATGTTTTTAAATATCACCTCCCGACGTCCCTTGTTATGATTTATAAAATTATACATGTACACATGTGTTATTGACCTCAATAAATGGAAGTGAAAATGGAACAATAATTATGGTAAATATCCATGGTGATAGTAATACTTAATTATCTTTATCATATTGTTAACTAAGCAAGAAAATTACGTAATTTTAAAATCACTTAACCTCACAATATAATCAATTTTAATTTGAAAATGTTCTCAAACAGTCATTTTTGAATTGACCTTTTCGAAAACCTATCTAAACGCCGTTTTCCGGTACGTTACGTATTTAGCTATGGGGAAATATACCAAATGAAGTACATAACACTATTAAATTTTAAATACATGATATATCTATTTTTCTATCATTATTTTACCGTTTGAGTTGAAAAAGTTGATGTATTCGAAAAATATCAATGTTCTTTATATATCTATTGCATTTTTTCAGAAAAATAAATTGTTTATTATGAAAATCAATAAAACTAAAACAGTCGTTGTGGCATCTTCCATGACAAATAAAGATATTTCCGCGTAAACTTGTGTATTTACTTTATTTTTGTGTATGAATTTATTTATAAAATGACATTTGATTATTTTCTTACAAATAAATAACTGTTTTATTTCACTTTAATTAAAAAAATGCCAAAAACATGAGCTTAATATCTAATGAGTTCGCTATTCCACTCCATTAGGCTGAATTCCCCATTTTTGTTGACCATGATATTTTATGTGGAAAATTGAAATTGATGGGTATCTCTAATACTGACTGGTTTATGTCGTATCTTAAAGGTAGAAAACAAACTGTTAGTGTTGATAATATTTTATCAGATTACATGCCTGTTACATGTGGGGTTCCCCAGGGCAGCATCCTGGGTCCTCTTTTATTTTTGTGCTATGTAAATGACATGAGAATTAGTATAGATCAAGAATGTAAACTTATTCTGTATGCCGATGACAGTGCAATTCTTTTTGCTCACAAAAATCCAAGTATTATTTCTCAAAAACTTGGACAAACACTAGAGTCGTGTTCATCTTGGCTTGTAGATAACAAATTGTCACTTCATCTAGGAAAGACTGAATGTCTTATTTTTGGTTCCAAACGTAAACTAAAACAAGTTAAAGAGTTCAAAATTGTTTGTAATGGACATACTATTGAATCCACAAAATCTGTTAAATATCTAGGTTTAAATATTGATGACTCTTTGTCAGGTGAATCTATTGTTAATTGTATTCTTACAAAGGTGAATTCACGTCTTAAGTTTTTGTATAGGCAAGCAAATGTTTTAGATTTTTGGACTAGAAAATATTTATGCTCAGCACTAATACAATGTCACCTTGATTATGCATGTTCTTCTTGGTACCCGAGCCTGAACAAGTGTTTTAAAAATAAGCTTCAAATTTGTCAAATTAAAATTGTTAGATTTATACACGGTATGGGACCTAGAGATAGTGTCAATAATGTTATTCTTGCTAATACGTCTTTACTAAATGTAGAAATCAGAAATAAGCAATTACGTCTTAATCATGTTTTTAAAATTGTTAATAACCAGTGCCCTTCATATATGATAGAAAATTTTATACCTGTTCGAGACATTCATTCTTATTCAACTCGGTCGAATCAGTACAATTTTAGGGTCCCAAGAAGTTATGGGAAAGATAATGTAACTTTCTTTCAAAAAGCAATTAATGATTGGAATTCCTTGCCAACATACATCAAAAAATTAATAAGATGGGAAATTTCAAAAGCTCTGTGAAGGCCCATTTACTAGAACAGTTAGGTTAGTAAATCATAATTAAATCCACTAGTATGACTAGATATTGATCTCATTTTTATTGTTTTCTTTTTAGCAAAGTTAATGGAAATACTAAAGTTTGATATTTTACGTAAATGACATCTTCCAGTTTCCAAAGTTTTGTATTTTTCAATGTTTTTGTGTTTTATATTGTATATTATAGTAAGTATATATCCAAGGACCCCATTGGAAATAAGCCTTCGGGCTTTCATGGGCAATCCGAGGTTATTGCACACTACTCTATACATGTTTCCACTTACGTCCTTACATTTTATTAAACTAGTAAATTGATATCTAGTCATAGGAAAGAAAGAGTTTTAGATTTTGTTTTTAGTTATAATATTTTATTATTTAATGAGCCGTCTGTGATATTTATGTCTGACAAACTTCCGAAATATTTTATTACAATTGTGTCATCAGTTTTATATAAAATGCTAAAGTGTTTGTTTTATGTATACATGTATGTGTGTTTTAACCTGAATAAATATCTATCTATCTATCTATCTATCCCCAGAGCTATGTACAGAAAGTACCGGAGAACGGCGTTTAGCTAGGTTTTCAAATTCGTGAATTCATTTTTGAAACATGAAAATGGTTCATATAGAGAAATAAGAGAAGAAAAGACCGAATTGACTCATGATAATTTTGGTCAAACAGTCTGCCACGTGACATTCTGACCTTTCTGAGATCCCTGCTGTTTGTTGTTGTTTTTTTTAGAAAGGGTGTTCTAATATGATAAACCACAGATGCTTTGGCCAACATTATACCCCTGAGTAAACACTATCAAAAATATTTGAATATTTAAACACTAATGGGATATCTGTTACAACTATAATACTGGTTTTCGAAATAAATTTACATATATGAAAAAAAATACTGTTTACCATCATGTATTGAGACTTGATTCCGGGCAGGAAGGCGAATTGTTTGGGCCATTTTCGTAACAGTTTTATCAGCAGCTACTTATCAGAGCCTCATAATATTTAGTATGCAGCATTAACACATTGTCCCATACCATGGGATTCGATTTAAGGTCTGTCGCTCATCCACTTCATGTTTACTGACATAGTTAACTTAAATTCATAATAATGGTCAATGGTACGAATTTTTCGTAACAATTTTCTCATTAGTTAAATTCATAATAATGGTCAATGGTACGAATTTTTCGTAACAATTTTCTCAGCAACTACTTATTACAGCCTCTTGATGTTTTGTATACAGCATTGATATGATTTTAGGTATGTGGCTCATCCACTTTCAGTTTTCTTACATAGTGAAATTTTCGGCATTAATTGTAAATGGAAGGAAATTTCCGTAACAATTTTCTTAGCAACTACATATCACAGCCTCTTGATATTTATTATTGTGACTGCAAAGTTCAGGTCTATCGCTTATCCACTTCCTGTTTACCGACTTAGTTAAATGTTCGATATAAATGGTCAATGGTAGACACTTTTTGTAACATCACAGCCTCATGAGTCATGTTATTTGGTATACAAATGCAACCCGGCCATTTTTGTCTTTGACCCATTTTTATTGAAGTATTATCCAAATTTGTACTTGTCTCGTTAATTATGATGTCATTGTTAACATTTTCATGATGTAAACACGCTACAGGGAGTGTATTTTTTACAACCTGTACTTTAAAGAAAAGAAAAAAAGAGGTATTTCTATACACTTGTTAGCATTCCTGTTGCTGTCGGCCAAAAATACATTTGACATTAACCTTTAAATGACATTGAAGAATTTTATAAACCTGTTGCTTGTTTTTAAAAAGAAAAATACTTTATAAGATCTATTCATTAAGGTGAGCGATATAGGGCCATCATGGCCCTCTTGTTTAATTTATTTGTTTTTATCATTTTATTTTTAGCTAACCTGTCATAAAGTGACAGGGTGAGCTTTTGTGATCGTTTTTCGTCCGTCTGTCCGTCTGTCCGTCGTCCGTCCGTAAACTTTTACTTAAATTGACATCTCCTCATAAACCACAAAGCCAATTTCATCCAAACTTAACAAAAATGTTTCTTTGGTGGTCACCTTTAAAAAATGTTCAAAGAATTTAATTCCATGCTCCTCTTAAAAAGGATGGCATATTTTGCTTAAACTTACAGGGATGAACAACCTTAATGTGTAGATGGTAGTAAAGGAAGGAAATTTTGCTGCCACCAAATTTACCAGAATTATGGCTCTTTGTTGATTTTTTTTTACTATATACCATATATATGTTGTCAGTGGGAGCATTAGTGTCCTTTGGACACAGTTTTAGTTTATAAAGTATCCCTATTCTTAATTGTAAATTGATATTGAATCAAATGTTGAATATCCGAATGCAATATTGATTAAGTTATTCAATGACAGCCCTAGAAAATACTCACACAAAACAGATTCTGTCAAAAAACAATTTTACTACGTTACCGATATAAATTTAACATTATTTTGTTTATCTAGTTTCAGTTTATCCTTTGAAACGAAAATGGATGATGATTGTTCCAGTGATGAAGATCTCCCTGTTGGCCTTACACCACTAAAATTAGGTCAGTTTATGTTTGATCTTAAACTATTTAATATAGGGTTAACGCACGTTTTTCCGTGTTATAACGTCTGCAGAGTCCCGAAGAACGGCTCGCCCTCCAACAGTTCCGAGGGACTCTGCAGACGTTATAATACGAAATAAACGTGCGTTGACGCTATAATAGCATACAATTTTAAAACAGATTCATGATGATCATGTATATTATATATAAAAAACAAACATTAAATCCATGTGCTTGAACGGTATTTATCCAAATCTACATGTTTTACGTATGCGTTTTATTTTTTCCGGGGCCAACAACTTGAGAACCGAACGAAATTTCGAATTTTAATTGATTTAACAAAGTTTAACTTTGAGATATATTAACTTAAGAAAAACATAACATTACTCTACCAAATACAAAACAGGCGCCTCAGAAATTCCTAAAATGATTACAGATTTGCGGTAGGAAAAAGATCAGTGACATCAGATTCAATTTCAGAATCGTTTTTTTAAGCATGGGTTTAAAAAAAAAACAGACATAAAACATTATTCTCTCAAAGAAACATACAGAACATGTATCAATATAAACGTCAATAAAACAACGTTTTCTTATATTCATTTTGTGCTTTCCATTTTTTGTAAGTTAATCGGGGGATTAAACTGAATGACAGATTCTATTTGTTTACATTGACAACTGTCCGTTTCTAAGAAAGGGCAACAACTAAGATAAGCGGCGATGTCTATACGCCGTATTGCCGGCATAATTACTTGAATGCTGCTCGCCGTTATTCGACTGAGGCCCTCGAATTAATAATTCCAATATAACAAGAGCGCATGACTCTGGCAAACAGGCCAAATCGTCATTTTTTGTATGTTTTCTGGGCCCTGTATGTATTGCGCATAGGTAAAACCGGGCTATAACAAGAGCGCGTGACTATGTTAACGCTTGGTTTTGGCCCCGTTATAGCATGGGCAAAAGAGGGAAAAATAGCCTATTTTATGCTATAATATTGGTTATATTTTATTCATTACAAAACTTGGTTATATTTCAGATTTACTTTTACACTTTTAGTTAAGTCACCTTTTAATATGACTTCTGACAAAAAAATCATCAAAATAAAGTAATGCAACCCG